CTAGAGGGGGGTTTTCTGCACTTTACCCTATATATATATATATATATATATATATATATATATATATATATATATATCATATTGGGATAACTGTCCGTTAAATTTGGTTTGAGAGTTCGGATGGAAAGCAAAAGAGCAAAGGGTATAAGTCCGGGAGATGTATTATACTAATACGGGAGTTGTAAATTTGATATTAACCATGATTAACTCTTTCTTTCCTCCTGGAAAAGCTTTATCTTCCTACCCTACCAAATTTAGATGAGAGACTGAATGTTATGCCTAAACTTGGCCATTGAGCACCGACTTCCGGAATACATCCATATGTGAGGTTTGGTGTGTTCTACTTATTTTGCCATGAGGTCCCTTTGAGTAGGTAGTTCGAGGATATGCAATTGTTTTTGTTTCTTTGATATTACCCCCCTTTTTTTTTTGCATTATGTTTGCCTTTCTTAATAGAATTAATACAAAAATAATGATTCCTGAAAATACCCTTTGTTGTGTCAAAATATCAATGGTTCTTGATCCTGTTTCACAAAGGTTCCTATTTTTAGTTTCAATTTTTTCCAGCTTTATCAGAACTCTTTTTTATATTTTTACTTATAATATAAGCAGGGACAAAAAAAAGAGAGGGAGGGGGGGGGGGGGGGGGGGGGGGGGGGGGGGGGTGGAGGAGGGAATTTATTGAGTAAACAACACATCCTTAATGAACTTACAAAAATAATTTCAATTTTGATGAGATACTAAAAGAAAATTAATAGAGTACGAGTAAGGTTCAATTAGTATCATAAGGATTTGCATGAAATATAGATTATGTCATCCAGGAAATTGAGGATTCATTCTTTTTTCTAACTTTATAAGTATCAATCGGTGTTCTAAATCAATCAATGATGTTCATTTTTTCAAAAATCATCACATCAGAGTTGGAATGGAGTTTTTTGAAATATAGGAAAAAAATCCGTTTTATGGAAAAAATATTATGATTTTTAAGAACTCAATGGGACCTTTCCCCTCGAGAGGTCACTACAAATTCTGTTTAGGTTGTTGTGATGGTTATTGTCTAATTGGTGTTTAATACATGGGAGTTAATAGTCGCTCTTGATATGATTGGGCAGTAGCAGGTTTTGGGCTGGTACTGAATAGCCATCCCAAAAAAACATAATTTTTTTTTTTTTTTGCCAGTGATCTTGAAGCCTGCCAAAAGATATTAGGAGTTCGGGGGACGGCGGCAGCAGAGCCCTCCGCTCCAGCGGCAGTGGCTCGGAGGTGGTCCTTTTCTAAGGTGGTTTGTGTTAGACTAGCATATCTTTCATTTGGATATAAATGCTAGCAGGTTAATGTTGACTGTTTATGTGAGACTAGTAGTATCTCTTTCTTTTGGGCCTGAAATATATATTAAATTATGAATGAGAATGCTAGCCGTTTATGGAGGACCTTGTGTATGAAATTTATGAATGAGAATGCACCGTTATGACTTATGAGTTGGTGTTCTTTCGGGCCTTAAATATATATTAAATTGTGAATCTCTTTCGGGCCTTAAATATATATTAAATTATTAATGAGAATGCTAGAAGTTTATGGAGGACTAATGTCGACAGCTTTGAGATTGTGTTAGACATTTATGAATGAGAGAATGCACCTTGATGAGTTTGTGTTAGAATTTGCCCGCGGCCTGAAATATATATTAAATATGTATTTTATTTATTTATTTATTTATATATTTGAATCATTTTTATTAATTATCATACTCGACTATCATCTTTGGGTCATGCTGTACCCGAATACCGTTTGGTTAAATGACTCAAAATGTTAACCACCTTGTTTCCTTCTTCGGTTAAATTGCTGTGATATTTTGATATAATATATATATATATATATATGAGAAAATGAAACCTCCAACAAAAATCTGTGATATTTTGATATAATATTAAGATAATATTATATATATATATAATATTATATATACGTATGTCTATATATATATATATATATATGAGAAATTGGAAACCTCCAACACAAATCTTTGAAGCATGCCTCTGCCGGGAGATGAAGAGAGAGAATGTTTGAAGGTACAGGACGATAATATCAAACTCTCGGCGTCTGGTATTATTCTAAAGGTGGTATTCTAAAGGTGGGTTTAATGATAGCTGCTCCTTTAAATTTATTTATTTTTTAAATGAAAAACAAAAGAAGAACACCATCCCTATATAATTTTTTTAATCCAAAAACAAGGAATAAAATTTTGATAAAAAATATTGCAGAAGATATTTCTCAATTCAAAAATACACATATAAAGGATATAATGGATATTTTTTATTTTTTCACAAAAATTGATTAAATTTTTTTTTATACCGTGGTGAAAAATGGTAGAACAACATAGATATAGAGATTTTTTTTAACAATACAAATATTTGTTTAAATATTTATTGCCAATATTATGAAGTCATGTTCTACGTAATAAAATCAATTTGAACCAAATTCAATATTTTTTTCAACGAACTTAACTTGAATTTCACCTATTTAGTTTCACGGCCGTTAAACTTACCTTTCAACATGCTTAGACCTACTATAAGGGGTAAGATGGGAAGACTAGTTTAAATGAGAGAAAAGCTAGACAGATAATTAGAGCAGGAAACCGAAAAGGGTATTAAAGATAGAGAAGTTTCAGGTTAATGTGAGAGGTGAACATTATATGTAAAATTTATTTGAATGGTAGCTTTTTTACTGGGAACATCAGTGATCTCTGGTGTCTATATCAGCATTATTATGCTGTAAGATTCTTTGTTTTGTAGGCTTCTTGTTTTTAGCATTCTGTTTTAATCCAAAACAAAATAAGTGTTTTATCGTAAAGTGTTTTGAATAATAATTGGATGCATATTTGGTAATTTGTTATAAGATTTTCGGACGCAAACACATTAAAACATATTGGGTATAAAATTGTTAGAAGTTTGAAAAATATATAATGGTTTATTTAAAAATGTCATTTAAGAGTTTCAAAAAAAAAGAAAAAAAAAAAAGAAAAACCTGTTTATCGCTAAACTACCAAACGCTATAGTGTGAAAACATACAAAAGTACAAATTTTCTGCATTGATTTTTGATCACTATTTAGAAAACGTTTCAGCACTGTACAAAACAAAATAGTTTTTACCAAACGTATTTTTTCCACCATTCACTATTATAATACTCGACAAAAATAAATATAAAAAAATAAAATAAAATAAAAAAACTAAAACGTGTACCAAGCAGGCCCTACGGATTCTCTTGTTGCAACAGAGAACGTCGAATTGTCACCTTAAAATTAAAATAGAAGAAAATTTATTTTAAATTTTAAACTAAGACGCTGATTCAATTCTTCTAATGCAACATCTTTAAAATTAAATATTTATGGTGATGGTCATTCGGGCCTGTGGTCAAGCCAAGTTTGAGCCAACTCAGTGGCCATGAAGGGTTACTTCAATGCGCAAGGGACATCACAAAAAAAGTTTAGAAGAATCCTAGTTCCCAACCTTTACCATGCTTTCAGCCTCAAAAAAAATAAAATAAAATAAAATAAATAAATAAATCATAATTCTATAAACATAATACCATTTTTAAATAAATCATTGTTTTGAATAGTAATCGAATGCATGTTGTAAGATTTTTTAAAACAAAAACATGAAATATTTGGTATAAATATAATGATTTATTTTAAAAGATGCAGTACCAAACGCTACAGCGCGAAAACATACAAATTTTCTGTTTCGATTTTTTACCACTATTCATGAAACGTTTTAACATTGTGCAAAACAAAATAATTTTTAACAAAAGTATTTTTTCCACACTATTCACTGCTACAGGGGACATAATTAACAAAAAAAAGTTTAGAAGAATCCTAGTTCTCAACCTTTACCATGCTTTCAGCCTAAAAAAAAAAAAAAATCATAATACCATTTTTATGTCAACTTGTGATGTTTCATGCCTTCTCAATTCCATAACCATAACCTATGAAGTAGTGAGAGAGGGTGAGCATTATTGTCATTATATATTTAAAACATAATAGTTAGAAATTCATATTTATTTTATAACTAATGAACTCTGAAGAATACTATTTGAATTTAAAAACATGTGCCACATTTACTGTTTGGAGTTATTGTATCATTACATTTATTTTTACATTCTATTTTTGTTGTTATTAATACAATTATTTTAATTTAATTCATTACTTTCAAATATATCTCAATCAATATATATATACACCCAGTACTATAAAATGTATGTAGAATGTACATTTTCAAAATATTTAAAAATGAGATATTATTTAATTTAATCCAAATATATAGATATATATTTGTTTAATTTTTGAAACAAGATATTATTTAATTTATTCCAAAGGAAAAAAAGGTTGTGTTAAAATACAACCTTCTCTTTACATTTTAAAAAAAATGATAGTATTTAAATGGTTAAAAACTTTTATTAAACAAACTCCACAAATCGACCAATTCTCTCACATTTATCCATATCTATATGTATATACACACACACACACACTACTATTTAAAGTACATCTAATTTTTATACCTTTTCAATTTTTACAATATTAAATTGTGTGTGTGTGTGTATATATATATATATATATATATATATATATATCTATTGCATAATTAAGTATGCAATAAAATAAAAGCTAAGAATATACAACTATATATGCAAAACAAGTCCAGACCCAAAATACCCAGTCCCCCTTATCATAGGAGACCAAAGTAGGATCATAAACCAACTAATTGTTCACTCACAAACATAGGCATGAACATCAACACCACAAAGAGCGGAATTATATGAACAAAATAATTGCAGTTGACTGGAAATATAAGCAAATGTTATACAAATAATTATTTGATTTAGTCCAAAGATATATAAAGGACAAAAAAAGAAAAAAGTTGTGTTAAACGCCAACTTCTCTCTACTTTATTTATTTATTTTTTTTTTAGTTTTTGGTTGTCGTAAAATATTTACTAACAAAAAATATATTAAAAGTTAATAAAAATAACTTATTCATCAATTTTCAGTAAGTTATTTTACATGTCCTGCCCAATAGAACACATTTGCCAACTACAAAAAAAAAAAAAAAACCAAAAAAAAAAAAATATTTTACGTAAAAAAAAAAAAAGGCTTCTAGTAATTAACTTAGATAATTATCCTTTCAGTCCATAGTGTGCTACTGAATTTATTGGGTTATGGATTCTACAATTTCTCTTCTAGCAAGGTCACAATGCCATTGATATGTACAATAATGGATATAAATCACTGGGAATCAACATCTTCCATTGATTGAATAATGAGCAACTGAATTTCAAAGAATAGTATAATACTACCTTTCCCTGACATTTTTTTTTTTTTTTTTGAATGGTATTCCCTGACATTTCTCTATACCTTGCAACCACAATTGTACAACACTAAAACATCAAGATGAAAAACTTTTTATTTTTCACTAAAACATGCATCATGACCTACATAACATCAAGAGGCAGTAGTCAAACACTTACAGATGGAGTCGTGTCGCTTTTGCATCTTTCACTTCTGCTGTTGTTAGCAAATTTCAAGCTCGGTTGGTGAAAACCTTTTCCTTTCTCGGTGGAATTCCATTCCGACATGTAGTAGTCTTCTTCTGTGGTGCCTTTAGATGATGGACCGCAAAACATGCCACCCCATTGTGGGAAGTATATGAAGAGCATTGGGAGAGTGCAACATATAATCATGATGCCCATCAGAGTTATTCCCGTCTCTGTCGAGTACCGGGATCCTCTGAAGAAAATTACTTGAGTTAGAACTGCACCCACGTTTCCACCGCCCCCGGTCATCCCAGATATTACCCCCAGTGACCTGAAGAACGAGACATTTGCAGGTGTAACATTAGAAAATGGGACACTTTCTATTAGAATATCCAGATAGATGCGAGACAAAAATAGTTTCTGTTAGTATGCACAGGCAGAAAATTTTGATTTTTGATTTTGATTTATATGAAAAGTAGTCTCGAAAATATGAACTAGTCTATATGGGCTTACTATATTCAATAATTTCCAGTAAACTGCAGCTTAATTCCCTTGAGAAGGATTGAGGTTATAATATATGGTTTTTTCCACCACTTGGTCATATGTATGCATTTTTAGTCCAAGGTGTGAGTTCTCGTATGTTGAATATCTTCCTCGATCAGCTTCCGAAAATAATAATAATAATAATAAATAAATGAATATCTTCCTCAGCAAACCTTTTGCAAATTTGGGACCTCACAATTGATCATGATGATGACATGGTGGATAAGGGAGTTAGGTGTGTTGTGATTCACATCCTGATATCACCATTCAATAATGTATGATATTTTGCGATCCTCAATGGGGAGGATATCCCAAATGTCAATCTGTAGTAGTTACATGATAAATAATCTAGTACGAATATTTTAAAGTTTATAAGTATTTTTTTTTTGGTCACAATTGACACTTTTATGATGCAAAACTTAATTGCCAAAATTCATATTCACAATAATTACGTTACAAAGAGAAATAAAAATTTGAAGCTGCTAAGTGATACATATAGCTATTTTTTAGTTTGAGTTTGAATCTATATGATAGGAACAATGATCAATTTTTATAAATCCCCCAAAAATAGATAATATAATATTAGTTAAATGTACTAGTATGCATACCTTCTGGAGACAAAAGGGACAACTCCAAATGTGAGGCCACATGCAGCTTGAACAAATACAGAGAACACAAGCATAACAGCAATGGATGCAGTTAGAGACCCCACTTTCCCCAAAAGAATGCAGAACAATCCTCCTAAGGTTTGCACCATCCACAAGGTAAATAGCCTACCCCTCATTCCAAATCTTTTCGCCACAACATCTGAGATATATCCTCCTCCCGGCCTCGAAAACAGATTCGCCAATCCAAAACTGGCTGCGATCATTCCTGCAGTGTGAAGCTTCACATTGAATCTGTCGTAAAAATACTGCGCAATTATATTGTCTATGGTTAGCTCCACCCCGAAACAATACCCGTATGTCAACGCCAGGATCCATCCCCTGTAATTTGTGACTGCATGATAAAAAACCTGCAGGAAATTATCCTTATGCTTCTCTCCAGATTTATGTAGTTGCGAGAAATTCCCATCCGGCATGTCTTGGCCGAGGAAAAAGATAGCAAATGCCGACAAGGTCTGGAACAAACCCGGGATGAAGAATGCAACCCGCCATGCTGTGAATTTAACCAAACCAATGTCTCGGATGAGGGAAAACACGAGGGGCATGATGAGCTGTGTTGCCCCGCCACCGAGGTTGCCCCAGCCGCCTGCAACACCGTTGGCGGTGCCAACAACTCGAGCAGAGAACATGGAGCTCATCCAGTATTGGGTTGAGACAAAAGTGGCAATAGAGAATCCGGTAAAGAATCGCAGGAGGAGGAAGGAGATAGCGGAATTGGCCATGGCAAAGCAGTACACTGCTGGTGTAGTGAGGAGGATGAGCGCGACAGAGGCAAGACGGGGTCCGAACAAATCACACATGGTCCCCATGGCTATTCGTGCAAAGACTGCACCGGAAACCGCCGCAATTCCTGCATTTCCAATGTCAGTGGCGGTGAGATTGAGGTCGTCGCGAATTATCGGCAGGAGAGGCGGAGCAGCAAAGGTGGAAACAAAACAAGCAAAGAAAGAAATCCAGGACAGATGAAACGCTCGCATGTGAGGAGCTGCCGCTGAGTGTATTCTGAATTCAGTCGCCTTGTGTTCAGAGTCCACCGGAAGAGCAAACTTTGAATATTGGTCGGAATTGGTTGTAGTGGGAGGCGTCTCCATACTTGTATCCTTGAATAAATGAATTTGCTAATGAAATGATAGAATTAGATTTGGTAAGCTCTTAAAGTGCTCTTTTCCATTTGTGCAGAGGCGATACATGAAAACGTACAAAAATATATGTATTTAGACTTCGTCTGTGACTCGGAGGATTGTGAGTTAGGATTGACTGACCTTTTGTGGGATTAGAAAGGAAGGGTTGGCGATCAAAAATCCATACATTCGCCTAGTCACACTGGCTTATAGCAGCTTCATAGGTGGGAAAGAGCATAAATTAGAATTCAAAGATGTGAAAAGGTTAAGGGACTATCTAAGAGGTGATTGTGTTTTGAAGGTTGATTAATTTTTAATGCCAAGTGGTTGTGTAGTTGAATCAATCTCTGCAGAAAGAAAGATATTATAAACAATTTGTTTCCAATAATTGACTTTGGAGTTTGGACTTTGGAGAGCTACGTAGAATCCAAGGAATATGCATCTTTTGACTTGTAAGAAATTATATATATAATTAATACAGTGTTGATTATTTGGAATGAATATGATTCATTTTGGCCTTGGAAATAATACCTGTTTTGAACCCGCCTTAAATGGTAGCTATACCAATTGAAGTCGTTAGTTTATTTAACCTTGTGACTTTTAGGGAATTGAACTGTCTCATAAAAAGTATTACTTTCGAAAAAATATGACTCTCAGAAATTAAACTGTCACAGTTTTTTTTTTTAAAATAATACATTTTTTTAGAGAAAAGTTGTATTTTTTATTTGTCTTTTTCATTTTTTAATAAATTAGACTGTTTAAACTTGATTCATTTAACACAAATAAATTTTAAATTTTAAATTTTAAAACAATAGTTCAAGGTTTCTAAATGTGTTTGATATATTGATTTAGTTTTTGTTTTTCAAAAGTGATACTTTTTTTTTTTGGACGAAAGTTGTATTTTTTATTTGTCTTTTTCATTTTTTAATGAATTAGACTGTTTAAACTTGATTCATTTAACACTAATAAATTTTAAATTTTAAAACGATAGATCAAGGTTTCTAAATGTGTTTGATATGTTGATTTAGTTTTTCGTAAATAAGTAAAGAAAAAAAAAAGATTATGAAATTTAAATTCACTAATAAATTTTAAATTTTAAAACGATAGATCAAGGTTTCTAAATGTGTTTGATATGTTGATTTAGTTTTTCGTAAATAAGTAAAGAAAAAAAAAAGATTATGAAATTTAAATTCGTACCTTTTTCCGAATTGTCAAATTCAAGCTTCAGCTAACTCCTATCTTCGGCTTGAGCGTGTGTGTGTTAGAGAGAGAGAGTATGACTTCCATATTCCGCTCGAGTGTGTAAGCGTTTTTTAGAGAAAGAGTGTGTGTGTGCGTGCGCGTTTTTTGAGAGAGAGAGAGAGTGCGTGTGATAGAGCGATACGTGTAGGCGAGGAGAGTGTCGTGATAGAGCCTTTTTTTAGAGAGAGAAAGAGAGTGTGTGTGCGTGCGTGCGTGCGTGCGTGCGTGCGTGCGTTTTTTAGAGAGAGAGCGAAAGAGTGTGTGTGATAGCGCGATACGTGTAGGTGAGGCAATATGTGTAGATGGATACATGTCGCTCGTCTGGGACCATACAACTGTCTTGGCATGCATTGGAAGTCAACTTTCATTGCCTGTCATATTGGACTATTTTTAACTCCCTCAAAGCTAACGGCATCAATTGAAAATTCTACCTTCACAGTCTTTCTCGGGCCCACCTTACAGTGCATGTGAGAGAGTCAATTGCCGACATTTCAAAATGCTGAGCTTATTTTTATTATTATTTTTAAAAAAATTGTGGATGATGTTTGTGCAGGTCTCTTTGACTATTCTCCAATAGATTGTTAGATGAACTTGGAATCTTTTAATCATACTTTTTAAAATTTTAAATCTTATTAAATAAAAATCTAAATTTATTATTAGTGCAATCCTTACCCACACAAAAAAAAACAACTTAATTTACATATAGACATATATAATATAATTATATGAATTTAGGAAGTAAAAATAAGAAAATTAGTCATGATAATTGTGTTTAATTAAACATTGTGGGATTAGTTTAGTTCCAAAAGGACATCATTTTAATAAATAAATTTTTGGTAGGCGATATTTGCTCATCACTTTTCAACATTTGCGCTCCAATCTTCACTTTTCAACATTTGCACTCCAATCTTAAAAGAAATAGCAATTCTAACTCTAACTTTACAAGTAAATGATGATTATTTTTTAAATAACACGACTGTCCTTTATTATCTCTTTTGTTAAGATCTAAAAAAAATTACGAAAAAAAGAGGATTCAAAAAAAATTATCTATATTAAATAAATTATCTCTTTTGATAAAAAAAAAAAAAAAAAAAAAAGAGAGGCTATTTCTATTTAATAAATTATTTCTTTTGACAAAATCCATAAAAAAATTACCAAAAAAAAAATAGTTACCTCTTTTGATAGGATTGAAAAAAAATATCTGAGGAATAAATTATTTATTTCAATTGTACCAAAAAAAAAAACGTCCATATTGAAGAAATTATCTCTTTTAGCTGGCAAAAATAAATTTATCTATATAGAATAAATTATCTTCTTTGAAAGGACCTTCGAAAAAAGGAAAAGAAAAGAAGTATAGCACATATATAAAAAAAAAAAAAATGTAAAGGAAATAAAAAAGGTAAAAAGAAAGTTAAAGTTGTACAAAGAGTAGTGATGACATTATAAAATAAAGGATTATGTATTAATCAATTCAATGACATACTTGTCATTTCCTTTAGAAGAAAAAGGTAAGTGGAGTGAAATTGGAGAAAAGTGGGGTGCGAATATTGCCTCCCTAAATTTTTCTATAATCTTTTCTCAACGTTAAATTTCTAGTATTTTATTATTTTACTTTTTAAAAAGGATAAATTACACTTATCTTCCTTGAGGTTTGTGTAAATTAGATACATGTAACCGTTTAACGTTTATTACTTTGATCTCTCCTACACTGATTCACCAGCAACTGAAAAGTGACTTTGAGTGTGAAAAGTCAATAATGCCTTTATATTATAATAATATATAATTTTGCATTTTATACAAGGGAAATGGAAATTATCATTTTATAAAATTTAGTCAACAGGTTTGTTGGAAAAAAGCACTAGGGAGTGTGTTGAACACACGTACCAAATCTCAGGGAAGGTCAAGTTAATAAATGATACACGGTCTATATGTGTGTAATTTGCCTAAACCTCTGGGATAAAAACATATTACAAAAATTTCTCTATTTCTGCTCTCTTTGTTTCGAATGGTTGATAAACTTAGTTTGGTGCCATGGATGCTATTTGGTGTAAAACAGAGTTACTCTAAGAGCAATTAGATGAAGATTAGTGATTCACCTCAGTTTGGGCAAGAATGTAATGCCCAAAACCCCATGATCCATTGCATTAACCAAGAAAGTCTGAACCCGACCTGAAAGCCAAACCTGAATGCGGAAGTGATTATGAATAAAAACGCCACTAGAAACAAATACCATCTTTAGGACAACAAAATAATATCAAACGAAGTCAACAAGAATGAGCATGAGTACAACTGCGGAAGCTAAGGATAGAAAGGATAAAAAAAAGATTACAGATGTGGAAACTAAAGACCACATTAACCTACATAGCTAATGTGACTCAAAAGATGAATAAAATGAAGTTCATTAATGTCATACCAAATACTTATTAACATCCCATGAGCCATCCCATGAGGTTCTAAGCCCTGAAGGAATGGTTTCGATACAAACCGAAATTTTTAACATATGGAAAACATGACTCATCCTCACTAAAACGATCATAACTCACTCCATAGTTGAAATTTTGGAATGAGACCAGTACAATCGGAAAGATTTTGGTCAATTTGAGCTCAAGAATGACCTAATTTGATGTTAAAACAAATGAGATATGGTCATTTGAAGAAAGTGCAACAAATCTGGGGAATGCTGTGAGGTGTGTTCGAGCTTTCATGGAATGCTCGAGCTTTCATAAAATGGTCGAGAATAAATGGAGATCTCGAGAGATGAATTTTCCAGAATGATGAGTTCTTGATTTCCTAAGGTGTAGAGATCATAGGTTCCTTTTTTGATTTTTTTGGATTTTCTTTTCTGTTTATTTTTCTGGTTCGGTTTTTATCGAACCGGGCTAAGTTAAGTGCTTAAGAATAGTTCTCGACACTTCTTCCATTAGAGTTTTGTGTTGTACTTGTTTTGTTTCATCTTTTATTATTTGGGGTTATTTGTAAGATTAAGTTTTGAGGACATTTTCATTTTTAGGGGCTTTTGTGCGAATATCTTTTGGAGATATATTCATTTTGGGTAATAGTGCAATTACCTTTTTGGATATTTTCTAGGAAAGACTTTTGTGCAATTAAGGAAAGTTGAAGGCATGTGTTATGTTTTTTATTGGACCATGTGTTGGAAGGAGATTGGCGACATATGGGGGGCTAGGATGGTGACAAGTGGAGGGTGGAGATGTGTGACAAGTGGAGGGTGAAAGGAAATCGAGGCTCAAATTCAAATAGCTCTAGGTCCAAATCGAGGAATCACAAAGACAAGAAATATTAGTAATGCCACGAGTTAGGGCATAACATCATGCACTGTTCGAAACTGAAGGCAAAGAATGGGAATGACAAAGAGAAGGTTCAAGAGGCAGCTTCTGTGGTAGCTGCTATAACGAGTGATTTGAAAAATGATGACATGTATGTCTTTTAATGACAGTTGGATTCTTGATTCGGGTTATTATGTTCATATGTGTCCTTTTTTCTGCTCCTACAAAGAGGTGAATTATGGTTCTATTTTGACGGTGGATGGAAAAACCTTTAAAATTTTAAGAATTGGAACAATCAAGATCAAGACGTATGATGGGTTGGTGAGAACATTGTCAGGTGTGCGACATATAACGGATCTGAAAAGGAGCCTTATTTCAGTTGGTATGCTAGACTCCAAAAGTTATAAGGTTGTAATAGAGGGTGGAGCTTTAAGGGTCGTGATTGGTTCTCTCGTGGTGTTACAGGGAATCAAGGTGGGAAACTTCTATATTCTCTAAGGGAATATAAGGTGGAACTATTATGGGGTTATCTACAGTGAGCAGAAATTTGCATTCGGGTCTTGGAAAAAGAGGAGTTACAGAGAAGAGTGATGATCTTAGTTTTCAAAAGGGTTGTGAGGAGGTTACACCATAGTTGTGAAAGGCTTAAGGCACACAAAAGTGCAAAGGCCTCCTGGAGCCTAAGGCGCAAGGCGAGGTGCGCATTGAAAAAAAAAAAAAAAAAAAAAAACCCCACCCAATAAAGATGCAATAGTATATAAAGATGTAAAAGTTAACTAAATCAATTACTTAAGTTCAATATTCAACATAAACATGCCAAAGCCAACTAAATCAAGTACTTGAGTTCAGCAGTGAATAATCAAATATAATAACATATTAATATAAAGATGCAAAAGTCAACTAAGGAGAATTATGA